TCCAGCACCTCAAGGTCTTTCTTGTAGTGAGGGGCCCAAAACTGAACACAGCGCTCAAGGTGCAGCCTCACCAGTGCCGAGTACAGGGGGACGATCACTGCCCTGGTCCTGCTGGCCACACTATTGCTGATACAAGCCAGGATGCCATTGGCCTTCTTGGCCACCTGGGCACACTGCCTGCTCATATTCACCAATACGCCATCTGCTTCAGGAACCCCATTCTCATGGACTCATAGTAGCAATTGTAGAAATACTGCACTATGGCTATTTCAAATTGTGTACGTGTGGCTGGAAAAGGAATCAACAAACAGCTGATTTTAGCTGTTACCAGTCTTGTTACCCCAGACCAAAGTGACACATTTCAGCTACTTGATGAATTTTCAGTGCTGGCTCTCAAGCCCCTCTGGCATTTCACAGGAGAGAAGACCCAGCTTTTGGTGGCACTTGTGGCAAAAGCAACTTGACAACAACTCATTGTGTTGGTAAATGCAAACTCTCTCCTGAACTGCTTCATCTTGAACGGGACAAGGAAAAATACAGTATTATTAAGTTTAGCCCCAAAGAAAAACAAATGACCCAGAGTATTCTAGGCCAGCAACTCTCTTACTCCATTGACCCTGGGAATCCAGAAAGAGGCGGCACATTGAACAGCTTGTGGCAAATGCTTTCTGATCAGGCTTTTCCCGGTGTCTGTTCCCCCTGCTCCCAGCTTCCTAAGCAAGTACTGACATTTTGTTCATAAAATCTCTGAACTCTCTTACACAAGTGCAGTGATTCCCTTCTGAGTATCTCCTTCCATCCTGCAGACTCCCTCCTGCAGCCTGATGTTTGGGACCCAACAGAAGCAACCTCAGCTCAGTACAGCCGCAGCCAGCAGCTCTCTCCTCTTACATCTTCCAGAACAGAGTCACCCCGACTAATTTTAAAAAAACAAGTCATCTCCCTGCAAGTCTACCCCGTGCAGCTGAAGCTACCTGACTCCACAGCTCAACCAGTTTCTCAGCAAGATCAAAGTCCGTGCAGTTGTTCAAGGAGCTTTTCAATTACACCTCCAGTTTCTACTATGAATTACGGCAGCACTTGAAGAGTGCCAAATCCCAGAGGGATCGATTACTCCCGCCCTGTGACAAGCAGTAGGCTGGGAGGGGACAGGACAAGCTGTAAGCACAGTGGCATTACATTATGCACAGACACAGTTCTGCTGCGGAATGATTGACAATAACTACTGGATGTCACTATTTTAAGGATAACGTCATTTGCGTAATTATCTGGCAGAGTCCCTCTTGGGCGGCTGGCATTATTCACAAGGGAAGAATTAGACTGAAATCCAGCTGAGGAGTAAGTAGATTTGCTATTCCATGCAGATTTGCTATTCTGTGCACTGTGCTTTATAAGCTCGATACATACGGTACATATCACCAGTAATTTTCATACTCTCAGGACCCAAAGAATACTAAAATGAGACTCCTTCTCTGTTTCACTGTGCCACATATATCATATGATTTTGTACTTAAAAATAATTTAATATTCTCTGTCCTCACCTGACCATCTGTTTCTTACTGGAGCTCAAGCTAGGAAGAGAAAGAGAAGTCACTTTTACTTGATTTATCCTATCATCTCACCATCAGATAGGAAAGTGTCCCCCAGACAGCCCCCGGCCCTTTGGCCATGTTAGCCTTCAGCTATTCTGGTTTTAGTGTGTTCAAACCTGGGTTTATCTGATACAGAAGGACACACTACTAAACACAGGACTGCATCGCCTGGGATAAATTATGTAAAGCCCCAAACCAAACAACATTTGACCCAGCCCGCTGTCTGAAATGGTACTAACAGAGCCTGACTGGGGTTGGAATTGGTCCCATCCTGGGCCCAGTTGTGGGTCCCAGCTGTACAACTGTAACCAAGCAGCAAAAAGAGAGAGCTGACGTTATTCTTTGCAGTGCTGGCATGCCACAAGTGGGACTGAGTGGGGCTACAGCAGATCATACCCAAATATGCATGCTTTGCTGCTGGAATCCAACTAATAGTATTCCAAAGAAAACAACCGACTGTTTCTCCTTTCCAATGCTCTGGGCAAAAGGATGCCAGAAGTGTTCTGCAAAGCATGTCAGAAAGAAACCTTTCTGTATAACCAGACTGTCCCAGCACTGACATCTCCCTGCTCTAGCTGTCCTGTTCCATCCCAGAAGAGATCTTGCTCTGTCCCTGGCATATATGGGAAGATGCTGGTCAAATGGTCATCTGGCAGTCTGGCTGTCTGATCCATGCTGGCTGGTCTGTGCCTCGATGCTTGAGCTGATAGGGGAGCACTTTGACAGTACACACAGAAGGGAAAAAATATAACCAAACTGCCTCCCCCTGAGTACAGAATAATGACAAATAAAAAGAAAGCTGCGTATGGTAAATAGCTTCTTGAGAACAGCCTTGAGACCTGGGAGCACAGGGAGGCAATGATGCTCTGATCCTGTTGCAAACACAAAGATGCCAGACATAGACAGCAAGGAAAAACTGCTGTAGCATCATGGCAGGAATGAAAAGACTTTTAATGGCTGAGCTAAGTGGCACTGGATAGCTATGTCAAATAGATAGGGTTTAAACACAGGCCTGTAGCCAATACAGGGAAACAAAGAGGCTTGGGTGTAACCAGCACATATTAGCCTTTAAGTAACAAGGCACACAGTGGCAAAAGCAACAGCTCCTTGCATTTGTCTCCCAGAAAATCTAGGAAGGTTTCACTTAATGCCTGCCCTTTTGTCATCAGTTCGACATGTGCTTTGTGGCAGCAGGACAGGCCCAGAGCAGCACGGCGGAGGCTTCTGTCGGTCAGCAGCTAACGCCCAGCAGCCACGCAGGCACCTGAGGTGCAGACAAGGGGCAGTTCTGGGGCTGATACAAACCAGCTACGTGAACTGACACCAACACAAAATCTAGCCCCTGTGCCTCGAAAGGAAAACCTGTTTTTCTATGTGCTTGCACACATATCACAGGAAGACCCTCCCTGTAGTCAATACTGCAGCCAGAAATTTCATTCCTTCCTGGAAGCTGGTGCCCCTTTGGACAATGTGCAGGGGCAAAGCAGAGGTACTGTTATCCCAGCTGACAACTTCTTCCTTGTGGGCAGCAAGTGACGGTTATTTATTCAAGCAGAAAACTCAAGCTATCATCTCAGCCGTGGGGTACAGACAAAGAGAATGAATGAATGCAGAGCTCACCGATAAATGATGCCTCTTTCATGGAGAAACATAAGGGCTGAAATAATTTCTGCAGCATAGAACCGGGCCCGATCTTCATCGAAGCGACGCGACTTCTGAATATGGAACATCAAGTCCCCGCCATTTACGAACTCCATCACAAAGAACAGGCGATCCTTCACACACGCAAACACAACAGATATGAACAGCATTAATCATATCCTCTGTCAGGCTTAGAAAATTCCAAGTAAAACTATTATCTCCCAAACAAGAACAGATTACGTACCCATGAGACATTGGGGGGAAAAAAGGGGAAAAAAAAAAAAAAAACCAAATCCCGATTTTATCCAGGAAAGATTAAGTCAATACCAGGAAGATCTGTTAGTACCTCCTTGCCCTGCACTCCTCCCAAAAATTTTGCACCCAGTCATGAAATTAATTCCTGTTCACATGTGGATTGGGCATATCAGTAGCTGTATGCTCATCACTAATCAGCTCCCGTTGGGCTTCCTGAACTGTCCTCAGCCTGAATCAGCAGAATATGATACCTCTTCAACGGCACTCTCTGAGCTGAGCGAGCACAAGAGAAATCTGTAAAAAGTCACTTGCTCCCTAGTAAACATCTCAGATCTCTGGGGAAAGATGCTCCATAATATAACGTGCATAACCAGACAGCTCACAGACTGCAGTTTGCCACGACAGCACATGATGATATTGTCTCGAGGGTATCCCAACACTATTTCTGAGGAATGTGTGTTGTTTTCCAGAATGGGATTTCCTGCCATACACTTGCATGGCAGCTGCTTTTTGGGCCCTCAGATTTCAGTTTTCCTCAGATTAACCTGCAGAGACATCTGGGCGATGAAGGAACTGATAAGAACAAAGTATAAACCAAAGTTTCTGCTGGGCAGAAAAGCAACCTGTTTGATAAAGTTCAGCTCATTATCCACAGCAGCTGGTCTCTCAGGTTTCTTTTTTGCCTTTGTTCTGGCTTTTGCAAAGTCTACAGATAGGGAGGTGCTTGCTTAAGCTGCATGCTCAAGAGTCTGGGTATGGGTTTAGTGCACGCAAAAAGGATGCTCACTTAATTGTGAGAGGAAGGACACATTTGATACAAAACTAAACCCTAGAATTGTTGCAGTCTGGTTCAAAAATTTCCCCTAGTAATTGTTTCAGAACATTCAGTATTGATTGTTTCAGTTTAACTCTGAATATCAGGAACAAGCAGACTGGAAAACAGGCATACAATTCAGTTGAGACCAGTCAGCCTTTTCATGGTATTATTTGCCCTTCTTTCCCCACAAGCCCCTTCCCAGGTCTGATGTTAATCATCTACAAGTTTAAGACAATAAGCATTGTTATGCTCCACTTTCTGGCAGCCAGCCAGCTTGAAATGACTACTGGTATTAACATCTTGAGATGCACATAGCAGAAGAAAAGCAACCAGAAATCCTTTCATTCCTCTCTGGACCTGAGCAGGAAAGCAAATGGATCGTGACAGATGAGGACAGTTTGCTTCTCATCACCATCCTGGGCACTGCTCAACAGCTCCTTCTGGGCTCCTTCCAGAAGCTAAGATAGATGTGTTCCCAGCAATCTCACGATACTATTGTGTGTAGCACCAAGGCCACGTGTTAAGTGCTATCTCCAGTCCATGCAAACAACAATACTTCATTGTTTCACTCTGCCTTTATTATAGGGCTGCTGAAAGACACCCAAGCTGGCTCGTCTACTGCAGCAATCTAAGCCAGAGCAGCATAAACAATGCAAACCCACCAGCAACTTTGGCTCTCCAGCCCACATCAGATCTCTAATGCCACATCTTCGCTGCAGTTGGTTAAACTGAGTCTGGCTATGCTATGCCTACCTGTTCAGCAACCCTTCCTCCAGCTGCCGTGCAGACACCGCCTCTGCCTTGCCAGTCAGGCCAGCTTTTACATCTCCTTGTTATTCTTTCCCACCTCCTTCCTCGCTGATCTCTCCGCATGCCACGTGCTTATCTAGCCCAGCTTGTCCAGGCATCTCTTCAAACCCATACTTAAAAAAGAAATCCCTCTTGCCAGATCTCCAACGGGAAGTAATTTAATTTAGCAGCAACCTGACAAGGGATGTGTGTGTGTGTGTATTTATGTAAGTAATACATATGCTTGTATAAACATGCATACAGTTAGGTGAACACACATGTATTTTGTACTCTTTCCTTAAAGGTGTGCTTCAGGGAAACAAAGTTAACTCTTCCTATCTTAAAACACACATGTCCTGCTTCTCCAGTGCAGGCAAAACTTCACGGCCCATCTCCGACTTCTGGACATACTCATCTGTACTACGATGCTTAAAGGAAGATACTACCTCTTTCTCAAACGCTCAGGTGAGCCCCAAAACAGCCAAATTCATATCACTGCTGACAGAGAATTCACATCTTTTTCTTGCAAACAGCTCTAGCTTCAGATTAACTGCAAACCTGAGCAAGTATCATTGCACGTGTTACATGGTGCTCACAAGTGTTAACAGCTAATGCCTCACCCATGGTCTCATTTCACAGGTCAAGCAGAAATACAGATTAATCACTGAAGCTCTCCTATTTAGGCCTAATAAAACTCTGGACTACTCGATTTTATTTTTTTTTTTTTTTTAAAAGAGGCCAGATAATTGTCTGTCCAGTTTTCTAACACTTAGAAATCGCACGAGGTTGCTGAAGAAAGAAGCAGGACGGGTATTACAACCTGTTTATAATATAGCATTTGTGCATTAGCCTGCTACATACCTGGCAACAGTATTAGAAAACTCAGCACTAACGACCACCCTTTGGGGACCAAGATCTAAGAGCCAAGCAAGGTCTTCCATTTCTACTCTTAAGCAAGGCCATCAGCTTGCCAAACTCCAAAGACCAACCACTCTCCCAGGAATCATTGAGAAATAAAATAAATAGTGGTATTTCATGAAGAGAAAGAAGGAAAAAAAAAAAAAAAAAAAAAAAGAGAGGCAATTTGCATTGCAGAGTAAAGTGAATAAATAGCTTAAACAGGGGCCAGGAAAAGGAAATCTTAAAAGAGCAAATAGTTCAGATACTTGCAAATTTGACCTGACTTAGAGTTACGTGCCTCCTTCCTTGGGGTCTACCAGCGGGAATTAGGAGGAGTTGAAAGCTGGAATGTTTGTTCGACAGGGCTTAATGCTGAAATCCTCACATTTCTATTTTTCTATTTCGCATTGCTCAGAAGTCTTCCCTGACCTGCTATCTCTGTTTGACATCAGCAAAAGTAAGAAAAGAGCATTTGAGTCAACAGGAAACAGTGACGCGAAAGCCTTCGCGCAGCAGCCGCCACATGAGGAAATCACATTGCACCATTTCTGGACTGGGATCGAGATGAATAAAGCCACAGAGCAATTGTTCCTGTAAATTAAAGAAACAGTTGGAGGAAACAAAGTCCGTGGGATCATGTGGGTTCATTTCAAGGCTGGTCCACATCTAAAGATTAGCCCTGCCAATTTCAGTGCAACAGAACTGTTTAGGTTTTTTTTTTAATTTGTTTAAATTTCAGTTTGCCATCTGTATTTATTCCCCTATTAGCAGCGCAGGGGCTGTTGGAAGCACATACTATGTCCTAAGGACAGTGTTTGATGGCAATTACATATAACTTATTTGTTTGTTGTCTTAGCGGGGTGTCGGTGGGGCTTGAAGAGAGTCCCCAACTGCAAAAGCCACTGGGTGGGACAATCCACATACTGGCTACTGTCCCTTGCAAACACAAGCACCCACTGAAATTCAACTCAAACATCACTTTAGCCCTTTGTTCCCACCAGCTCTTCTAGAAAGCTGGTTTGAACCCTCATACCTTTCCTCTTTATCACCACAGGGGGGAAAAAAAACCCAACTGATTTTATTAAAAGAGTATCCTTTCTCTCCCCGTGCCCACAAAAGGCCAGTGTGATGACTAACTTTCACCCCCTTCTAGTTAAGAGTCATAGCCAATGTCCACGTACAACCCACAGAAGATCAAAGACTTCTGAAGATAGCTGAGGTGAGAGCCTTATCTCCCATCACAGGCTTTCATGATAAGTAAGTGGGACAGGGCAGCACCATTGCCCCTCTTCAGACAGAGTGGAAGGAGGAGATGGGGAAAGACAACTGTTTCCTACGTGCAGACATGGAAGAAGATGAGAGCAAAGCTGCCTGCCCTATCTGCCACCCTACAAAAGCTGCCATGCCAAAGGGCAGCATGGAGGCCAGAGAGGACTTCTCTCAACAGAGTCATTGGTGGAGGTTCAGGAGACCCACTGGGAAACACCAGTGCGGCTGTCTAAAGCCTCCAGAGCCACCAGCAATGGGCTTGGACAAGCTCTGCACATCTCCGTCGCAGCACAGCTCATGCAGACGCTGCTTTTACTCACAGCAATTCCTCTGCAGGACCAGGGGCCGAGCCACCTCACCAAGGACATATCCCAGCAGTAATTTCAACCAAGCCTCGTCTTTAGCTGACTGCTGCCATATAAGGCAGAGTCTGGAGGATATGAAGACCTGGTTAAATGCTGTTTGCAGCAATGGCCCAATTTCCCCCCCC